ATACCTAAGAAATCATTGGGAGCTATCTTAGATCGCATGGGAATCACGTTTTCGTTACCGCAACCTACGGGTGGTAGACGAGGGATGGGCGCCATTAAACGGAAAAAATGAGTTATCGACTCTTCTTTCTTATTGCTGAGCTTTCCTTTTTTTATGTGTGATATCTTTAATGAACATACTTCCCTTCTTGAGAGTTTAATAAGAGTCCTTTCCTAGAAGATACATGCAAAAACAACTAACAACAATCATTCAGCAAAAAGAGTTAAATTAATAGGAGACACCAGTTTGTGATAGATTCAAAACAAGTGTACTTAAGGAAAAGTTCCAATGAAAAAAGAAATTAGGAAATAAGATTTGATATCACTCACAGTAAGTGGTGGAGGCGGAATAATTAGAAGTGATTTAGAACTTCATCCTATGGTCAAGAGTATTACGAATTTCAGAAACTTTGATTCGAATTTCTTAGATGATGAAGTTATCTTCTTGTTATCTTTATGAGCACATCCTTATGGATACTGAGACAAATATTGAGGAAAAAATAATACATAAATTGCGTGAAAAAGCTGAAACTAGTATTCAATTTGACTCAAATAGTCAAGATGGTATGATTTCTCATGAAACATTAGGTGGAGTTTCATCCATTCTTGAAAAGTATTTCATTAACCTTTGGAGGATTTATGTAACCCCAGGAGTAACACTTTTCCACAAATTTACAATGCAAAGTGTATAGATTCTTCTTTCTTTGAAAACCTTTTTGTTAAGAAAAATAATAGAAATCCGAGAAATAGGAATCCATTTCTTTTGAGAACTGAAAATCATGAAGATGTAGACATAGAAAATCTTTAGTTGTAGTTTGATATTTTTGATCTTTTGATCTAGATCGATTGACTAGTTTATTTTATTTTTCCATTCATAAATCAAACTTCATATAAGTTGTGATGCGATTCTTCAATTCTGGTAATTCAAATTTATGGTACAGTGTTATTACTCCAAAAGAATAAGATAAAATAGAAATAGTAGAATTCAAAGATTCTAATACTTCAGAGACTTCAGCAATAATAGAAAGTGAAAAAATTTGATTGGGATGGGTAAAAACTGGAGGAAGGCTGAATCCAAATAAATCTGAAAGATTGAATCCGAAGAATGCAGCCTTTCTCAAAACCTTGAAGAAAGGGCCATGATCCAAGAGAATTTAATTCCAATTATTTTTTCGTTTTTACAAAGCATAACCTCGGAAACTACGTTTTGAGATTTTGTCGAACACGGAGATCAAATTTGTTAAAATCAATAAGGTTGTTTACAATTGTTTACACAACGGGGATAAATCACGCTTATTGATTCATATGTAACTCCTTCACTAGGTGAATGTCTTGCAGATACTTTAGGATCAAGAATTGTGAATTTTGTTGCAAGTAATTAATTAATTACAAAAATTAATGAAGAACATTCACAGAGTGCAAAAGATTTTATAATTTTCAGACAAATTTCAGATATTCAGTAGTGATGAAGTTGCTCATCCAGTTGCACGACCACACCGGACATGTACATGATAGATTAAGATATGAGTTTAATAATGAAGTAGGGGTTTTTATGAACTAAGCAATCATCAAATGTGCTTTTTAAGGACACAATAAAACAATTGCAAAATAAAATCTGTTCCATATGGAAAATAGAACAAGAACATCAGCAAATTTTCTTTGACAATGGAAGTGAGCTTGATGCAGCCACAAAAGTTACTCTTCAATCAGTTGGACTTAAGGATGAGAGTAAAGTTATCATCGTAAGTTCTCAAACTTTCATTATACTCATTACTGGATAAAGAAACAGTAGAAAATATACTCACGTTCCAGAAACACGAATTACTCCATCAATGGAAAAACTATTTATCCAGAATGGATGAATTTCGGGCGATAAACGAGAATTTTCTCAAGAAGGAGCTAGCAATGGAAGCGGCTAAGATGGCTGAACAACTGTATGAAGCAAATTTTTTTTCTGCTTACTCATCGTTCGATTCTGAATGGCTTTGTTTACGAAAAGAATATGCAAAGTTTCTGGACAACATACCTCCTTATATAAAGGAAGCTGTCTCATGCTACTTCACGAGCAAGTTCAGAAATGAAGTGATTGTTTTAGACTTCGAAGATAAACCTTCAGGTATAGATAATCTCATTTGATGTTGACAATAATTTTGAAACTATTAAGGAACTCGATCTGGAGCTGTATGTGTTGTGAGTTCCGCTAAAGCCCGACGCGTGTTCTATGTGAAGACAAACCACAACGCATCAAGCATTCATAGTAAGTCCATTGCTGTAAATCGGAACTTT